CCGGCGTTAGTGGAGAATGGAGGAAGCAATCATTCCCTCCACTGGAGCCCTGCCTTCATCCTCTGGAGCACCCGCTTCAGAGGATTCGGAATCCTCTGCAGCCCCTAGAAAGGCTGCAAGGAAGTCATCAAAGAAGGCTGACAAACAGGCAATCAGAAGACACCAAGCCCTAGAAAAGGAGTTCAACAGAGCGCAGAAAAGGGCCAGAATTGAAAATAGGCAGAATGGGGGGATAGGTCCCGATCTATCGCTGGGTCTCCCTACATCCCCACGGGCCATTTGGTCATTAGGGAACTCATCACAGTCCCAAACAGAGGGCGGGATAGGCGAGATCTCATCGCTCTCCTGATCCCCCTCCCCATGGAGGTTACAGGAAACCCCGAGGACCATGCAAACCACAGCACCTGCAGGGTCGCAGGCAATGGTTACTCCTCCTGCATTGATGGGGGATCTGCTAGCTACCCTAATAGCACAGGCAGTGGACCGTGCATTTGAGGCCAGGGCTCAAACTTCCAAAGCCAAGCCTCTAGGATTTAGAACGAGGCATCGGGAGGAAACGGAGGACTATCAGGACCTCTCCTCTTTCTCAGACTCGTCGGTCTCAGAGGAAGCTTACCTGGACCAGCCAGGTACGTCACAAGGGATTCAAATGTCTGAGGAAGAGGAGGACACCTCACCTCAAGGGCCGTCCTTCAGCGGCCTGTTTAACCCTTCTCTTTTTGTTACCATTCTGCGCAAGGCTGAGGCCACAGCCCATCTGGGGCATGGGACACCAGCGGAGCCTGTCACAGTTGACACGGAGGCTGAGCCAACGTTCGCTGAAAAGGTAACCACTCAATACCGCATACCATGCCCGACCATGTTCCTAAACACAATAAGGAAACAGTGGGCAGCGCCAACCTCCCTACCACTTCCTAGCAATGCGGAGAGGAAGCTATTTAACGTAGCAAGGGAGCTAAAGGGAACATTGGAGGTGCCGGTGGTGGACGAACCCATAGGTCCCCTGATATCAGACACGGCCATATCAGGAGATTTTGCTGAGGCTCTTAAAGCCAAGGACCGAAAGAGTGAGTCCAACTACAGGAGAACGCACCAGGCAATAGCTTGGGCTACCAGGGCGACTACCTCCGTGTTCTTTTTCACCAGAGCCACACTCTGTTGGCTCCGTGAGTTACAGGGCCGGGTTCCCATGGAGGACGTACGCACTCACCAGGAACTCAGCAAAATGGTAGCGGCCACGGAATATGTGTCGGACGCGACACTTTTGGCGACCAGGTTTTCAGCCAAGGCAATGGCAGCAAACAACACGAGCAGGCGCCTCCTCTGGCTAAAGAACTGGCAGGCGGATACCAAATCCAAGTGGAAATTGGCTTCGGCTCGGTACCAAGGGGCAAAGCTGTTTGGTGAGGCACTAACGCCATACCTGACAGAGAACAAGGACAAGCGCAAGGTCCTTAAACACATGCTTAAAAGGCAGGACAAGAGACCCGGCTCCTGGGGAAGGAAACAATCCTTTCATACAGAAACCAGGGTCAACTACTTCCAAAATTCCCAACCCTTCCAAGCTAGACAGGATAGGGAAAGACAGGGGGACAGACAGAACACAAGAAATAGGCAAACACAGGGAAGACGGCCCTTTCGGGGGAACAACCGCCCCTTCCGCCGTACCAGATGACTCCCACCCAGACCTTCCCATAGGGGGCAGACTAGCAGGGTTTGCTCCCCAGTGGGAAGAGACCACCACGGACGTATGGGTCAGGAACACCATACGTCGCGGTCTATCTCTAGAATTTCTCTCAAAGCCCCCGAACCGCTTCCGCCCATGCCCCTGTCCCACGAACCCAACAAAGAGAAGGCTCATGAACGAGGCTGTTCAGCACCTTCTAAACATACGGGCCGTAGAACCGGTGCCTATAAACCAGAGAGACCAGGGGTTTTACTCTATCCTCTTCGTGGTCCCAAAACCCTCGGGGGGTTGGAGAGCCGTTCTGGATCTAAAAAGGCTAAATTTCTACATAAAATACCGCAAATTCAAAATGCAGACACTACGCTCCATCTTTGGAAGCGTAAGGAAAGGGGATTTTCTGGCATCGATAGGACCTCACGGAGGCATACTTGCACATCCCTGTCTCTCTGGCTCACTGCCGCTTTCTACGGTTCGCCTACAGGGGGCACCATTTTCAATACAGGGCACTTCCATTCGGCCTGTCATCAGCGCCCAGGGTGTTCACCAAGATTCTGGCGGTTCTGGCAGCACGCCTAAGAAATGTCCCGATCAGAGTCCAGTGCTACCTGGACGATATTCTAATCCAGTCATCGTCCGCCCAGCAATCTCAAGCGGACCTAAAGTTAGTGATAAAGCTGCTGCAGGACCACGGCTTCTCGGTGAACTTTCCAAAGAGCCACCTAACCCCAACTACAAGAATACTCCATCTGGGAGCGGTCATAAACACACAGGAGTGCAAGGTGTACCTATCACAGGAACGCCTCAGCAGCATAAGGAAAGCCGTAAAACAGGTAAGCCGCGGTCAGTCAGTGACGCTGGTCTGCCTCTCCCAGCTGCTAGGAAAGATGATATCGACCATAGCAATAGTTCCTTGGGCAAGGCTGCACTCAAGAGAACTGCAGTGGTTCATGCTCCCGTTTCAGAGACAGCAAATCAGTGCATCCCGGAAGAGGGTAGGCATACCTCTGAGAGTACGACACTCCCTCAGGTGGTGGCTATCTCCAGCTCTCCTCAGGGGGTCCCCCTTCAGGGAACCAGACAGAGTAGTAGTCACAACAGATGCGAGTCTATTTGGCTGGGGAGCCCACTTGGGGACCAAGTGGACACAGGGCCGCTGGTCAGCGGTGGATCTCCGACACAACATAAACTGGCTCGAGCTGCGGGCTATTCACCTAGCGTTAAGGCATTTCCACAGCAGCATAAAAAGCAGGCACGTACTGGTCCTGACGGACAACGTGACAGCCAAGGCCCACATAAACCGTCAGGGGGGCACACACTCTCGCTCGCTCTCGGCCGAGGCCCTCCTACTGGGGGCCTGGGCGGAACAAAATCTGGCCTCCATAAAGGCCGACCACATATCGGGGGAGGCAAACATCCAAGCAGATCAGTTGAGCAGATCAACAATAGATCACTCGGAGTGGCAACTACACCCGAAGATCTTCAGGGAGATCTGTCACCGCTTCGGGCTTCCCCAGTTGGACCTATTTGCCTCTCCTTCCAATGCCCACCTAACTCGCTTCTTCTCCCGATTCCCATCCAGGGGAGCAGAGCAGACGGATGCATTACGGAGCCCATGGCCAAGGGGACTCCTGTACGCGTTTCCACCCTTACCTCTCCTTCCGGCAGTAGTACGCAAGATTCTGCGGGAAAGAGCCAGGGTAATCCTTGTGGCCCCTTATTGGCCAAGGAGACCTTGGTTCGCAGACCTGAGGAGTCTCTCCTGCACGAATCCATGGCGGATTCCTCCGGAGAGGATCTCCCTCAAATAGGGGGAGATCTGCCACCCAGAGCCACAATGGCTACAACTAGCCGTCTGGCTCTTGAACGGTCAATTTTAGTCAAGGGGGCTTGCTCACAGGGTGTAATTAGGGTCATACAGGCATCAAGGCGCCCCTCCACGAACCGTATCTACGAGGCCACGTGGAGAAGCTTCCAATCATGGTGCTCTGAACAGGAATTGTTACTCGAAGGGATCACAGTTCCCAAGATCCTAGAATTTTTACTAGAAGGCCTAGAGAGAGACCTCTCGCCAAACACGCTGCGCAGGCAAATCGCTGCCCTCTCAACTATATTTTCTGCCAGCCCCGGTGAATCCTTGGGCAAGCATCCCTTAATACGATCCTTTCTCAAGGGGGCTGCGAATATCAGACCGCCAACCGTGCACAGGTATCCATCGTGGGAACTACCACGAATACTACAAGCTCTTACCAGAGCGCCCTTCGAACCACTCAAAACATGTGACATTCGCTACCTGACCCATAAGGTAGCATTCTTAGTAGCTATCACGTCAGCTCGACGGATATCCGAGTTAGCTTCTCTCTCAATGAGGAAGGACCTGTGTCATTTTCACAGGGACAAGGTAGTCCTAAGAATAGACCATTCATTCCAAAGGTCAACTCCGTTTTTCACAGATCACAGGAAATAGTCCTACCAGACTTCTGTCCAAACCCAGCTCATCCCCTGGAGCAACAATGGCACACCTTGGACGTACGAAGGGCACTAAGACATTACATTTCGCGCACAGCAGAATTCCGACGCTCGGAAGCGCTTTTCATATCCTTCCACCCCGCTACTAGGGGCCGGAAGGTTTCGTCCTCTACCATCGGTAGGTGGATTAGGGCATGCATCACTGGGGCATACCAGGCGGAGTCCTTGCAAGTCCCCAAGCATATCACGGCCCACTCCACAAGGAGCGCTGCCACCTCAGCAGCATGGGCCATGCAGGCTTCTATTGAAGAAGTATGCAGGGCAGCCACTTGGGCCTCGCCCTCTCCATTCATTCGCCATTACAAAATCAACAAGTACTCCTCTGCAGAGGCCTCCTTCAGTAGGAGGGTTCTCCAGCAGGTTCTAGACCAAAGTTACACACGGGACCAGTCTATTCCCCAACCCAAGGGACAATAGGCTTTGGTATGTCCCACTGCGTGGATTATCCATCTCCAGTGCTGGAGAAGGGGCGTTGACTTACCTGAACGCCTTTTCTCAGCACGGAGATGGATAATCCACACCCACCCTTATAGACTAGGATAATAGGGTATATTTAGTGGAGCCAAAACGTCTTACTGTCAGTCAATGGCTGCGCTCGTGTCAAGACTGGAGAATCATGGTCCAGGACAGGCGTGGCAACTTTGGCTGACTGATCTGATTGGCCAGGAATACAGTCTCAACCCACTGCGTGGATTATCCATCTCCGTGCTGAGAAAAGGCGTTCAGGTAAGTCAACGCCCCTTTTCCTAAGTACAAAACGGAGAAACATGTATGCACATATATGTAGAGAATTTGTAAAAAAATCCATTCTGTTGTCTAACATTGTGGTATAACTTGGTGATGAGAATGGTAAAAGTGCAACATAGACATTGGAACAATTGGACTATATATTGTATTTTAAAGGCCATTTGATATACTTTTGATTCATAGTCATAGTTAAAAATTATATTTTGTTTGTAATGTAAATTTTTTAAAACAATTATAAGCTGCAGAGTCATCAACCATATTGTTCTAGATGGATCCTTTTAAACTGTTATCTTGCAATATTTGGTTCTTTTCTGGTATGTGGGTTCATTTTACAGAGACAACCGTGTAAATTTGTGAATAGTTTCAAAATAAATGACGAAACTCTCATTCAAAATGGTCAATTTACTATTGCTACATATATTTTACCCAACAATTAAACCTTTCAATCAATTAAATAATTACTTGAATTCATGTTTATTTCAGTTAAATGCAGCTGTAACTCAGAGTAACAGCTCATTTACCTTTAAAAAAATTTAAAATTCTAAATTAAAGTTAAAATTAAATAATTGCAATCAAAAGATATATTTCTGATTATTCCTCTTTGAACAGAGCGTGGATCACACTTCTTGCAAGCCTCATTGTATTGAGGTGGGGCTAAGATGAGCATAACCAGCGATGAAGTGAATTTCTTGGTTTATCGTTACCTCCAGGAGTCAGGTAATTACTGTTCATTTAACAATATAATGTATTTATCAAACACAAAGTTATTGGAGGTAACAAAATCACCTAAATAGATTAAAATAAATATTATGTTAATTGATTGTTTGACAGTATTATTTATCCCCAGTATAGCTTAACTGTTTTTTTTCTTACTTTGATAAGATACAGACACTATACTTCCAATTGGCATAAAGAAATTTACAAAACTGCTAATAGGATTTATAGGAACCTCATAACGAAATGTAACAAAATCATAAAAACACAGTAAAATTTTTACACAGTAAAATAATATAATATCATTCTGAATCATAACATCAGAAGGTTCTATGGATGGAAAGGCTCTATTGCAGTCTTTCTCAACTTTGGCAACTTTAAGCTGTTTGGACTTCAACTTCCAGAATTCCCAGCTAAACATATTGGCTGGGGAATTCTGGAAGTTGAAGTCCAAACAGTTTAAAATAGCCAGAATAACTCAACTGAATAACTTTATTGAATTGATTAAACAATATTGTTCTATATGGGCTTTAACAAATATTTGTAAGATAATAAATGTTTTCCATATATTTTGATTGATGATTAAATGAAAAGCAGCATCATTCCAAAAAACTGGAGACAAAATAATATTTTGGAACACACTTATGATTTTATACTGCTCGAAGATTTAAAAGCAATTATGTTGAACTGGCATTGGAAATAATTTAAAAGCCAATTGTATTGGAGTAATAAAAGAATCATATATTCTATCAATCTCATTTGAAACTATCATTGGTGGTTTCTATTTCTTCCATTCCTGAGCTTTTTTTGAAAGCACCAGCACAAATACCGTGTAGTAAATTTCTATAGTTCTAAATTGCCTAAATTTGTGAACATATTAGAACAATGTATTTGATACTATTGCATATTAGAACCAAGCAACTGTATCATCATCATAATGCAGTAAAACCTTGATACATAAGACAAGTCATAAACCATAGAAAGGGGGTGAAGTCTGTATAATAATATCCATTGTATCTGAGGTCCATTAAGTCAAGGTATCACTGAAATAACAAGTAATAATGTTAGTCCAAACTCTGAAAAATAAAGTTCACCTCAGAACATTTTATTTTTATAACCCTTTTGTTATTTTAATATTTTCTTCCTTGACATAAATTAACATTGAAAAATATTCTTTTGATCAAAGTAAGCAGAAATAATGAATTACGCTTATACAATATATCCTTATGGTTTATCTTACACCAACTCAAATCATCTTTCAGTCTATAATCCAAAACAATAGCAGTCAAATGGTAGTGTCAACTCTACAATGAGCATGGCTGAAGCCATTTTTTCTTCTCATTCTAGGTTGCCACATAGAATGGAGGGAGGGAGGTTGCCCAAGTGCTTCGTTAGTCAAAATAATCTTCTGTCTCATGAGAACCAAGGTCATCTGCTGCTCCCGAGACTAGGGACTGGGCGTTGCATAAAAAGCCCACCAAATAAGTATATTAGGGAACATAGTTGCTTGCATAGTTTTGTGGGTGGGACATATAATTTTGTAATTGGGCAATTGTTACTTGTGTATTCAGACTTGGTTTCACTTTTGACCGTGCCGATACTCTTCTTTATGGCAGCCCCTGAGATATTGGAATACTGCTATCATGTCCCCCCTTGTCCTTCTCTTCGTTAAACTAGACATACCCAATTCTAGCAACTGTTCCTCCAGTCCCCTAATCATCTTTGTTGCTCTTCTCTGTACTCTTTCTAGAGTCTCAACATCTTTTTTACATCGTGGTGACCAAAACTGGATGCAGTATTCCAAGTGTGGCTTACCAAGGCATTGAAGAGTGGTATTAATACTTCATGTGATCTTGATTCTATCCCTCTGTTAATGCAGCCTAGCACTGTGCTGTTTACTGTAATGCTGGTTAGTTCTTTTGGACTGTGGTTGGACTATAGCTTGGGCTGATCGATGAAATATAGCCTTTCTCTTGTCGGGTTAGAAGGCTTTCCCCAAGATGAACGAAATGACCGCAGTCATTCCAGAGTTGCCGGGGCACCCTTCTTTCTTCGCCGCCTCTCTGGGGTGGCTTCGACCCATTATGGCAGTGGTTCTCAACCTTTCTAATGCCGCGACCCCATAATACCATTCCCCATGTTGTGGTGACCCCCATCCACTTATACATTACCAGGTGCCAGGGGCGTGGCCAAAGAAAAGGGGAAAAAAATGGCGGACAGCCTGGTTTGGCGACCCCCGTGAAATAATTGTTCGACCTCAAATGGGGTCCCGACCCACAGGTTGAGAACCACTGTATTAGGGTCTCCAGGCAGGACGAAAGTTGGCCACAGGGGTGCAGCAAACCCGTGACCAGTCACTACTGCGTAGGACCAGAAGTCAAATTTAAGGGAGGCTTATTACCAAGTCCGGATTAAGGAAGGGGACGAATGGAAAACCACCTTCAATTGCCCCCTGGGAAACTTTCAATTTAAAGTGATGCCTTTTGGACTATACAGCTCCTGCTGTATTTATGCAGTTAATCAACCAGGTGCTCCATGATCATGTGTAGGGGTTTTGGTTTATCTTGATGATATTCTCATTTACACTGAGACTATGGAAGAGCACATTAAATTGGTCCGTAAAATGCTGAGGAAACTGCTGAAAGCTAAACTGTATGCAAAGCTTTCTAAATGTGAGTTTCACCAGACAGGCCTGATTATCTAGGCTACCGATTTTCAAATGAGGGGATAGAAATGGATCCTGCAAAAGTAAAAGCTGTATTGGAATGGCATCCCCCTCGCTCTGTAAACAACTTCAAAGCTTTCTGGGGTTTGCTAACTTTTACCGCCAATTTATCCCCTCTTTCGCAAAGATAGCCATGCCAATAATCAACTTATTGAAAATGGGAAGAGGGGGGGGAGAAACCCCAACCTTGTCAGCCATTGCCTTGATCCCTAGAAAGTCAAGCTGCATTTGAGAAACTAAAAATACTCTTTGCAGCCAAACCTGCTCTCAAGCACCCTGATCCTGAAAACAATTCATCATTCAAGCCAATGCGAGTGATGTGGCTGTGGGTGCTGTTGTCTTACAAAAAAATCACCAGGGGAAATTATAACCATGCACTTACACTTCTCAGAAGCTAACCAACATGAAGAGGAGTGGGCTATTTGGGAGAAAAGGAGGCTTTTGTGGTATGATGGGCATTACTAACGTTGTGTCATTTTTTGGAAGGGGGGAGATACCTTTTGAGGTGTGGACTGGTCATAAAAGGCTCTGAAAACCCCCCCCCCCCACAAATTATCCCCAGAACAGGTCTGGTGGGCTCAATATGTCAACCGTTTTAACTTCATCTTAAACTATTTCCCAGGGGGTAAGGATTTTTTGGCTGATGCCTTGTCTTGAATGCCCTAGTTCAAAAGTCACCGGGAGGAAGTATTCAACTTCATTATTCCCCTGCCACAGTCTGCTTCTCAAATAACAACTAGATCGCAAACACAAGGACCACCTACTGGTCCTGATGATCGCTTACTGAAGGAACTTAAGGAGCAATTAGAGACTGACACCTAGACAAGGCAAAGACAACAAATCTATTTTAACCCTTAGGTGAGGAGTAGCCTGGAAAGGCTCTACATTATACCACCCAAATGGCCTCAGACTACAAGCCCTTCAGTAAAGTCATGATGCAAAGCAGGCGGGTTGCATTTAGTGCAAAGGCAATTCTGGTGACCAGGGATGAAAAGAGACGTTGAGAATTATGTGAGGAGCTATGCTATGTGCGCTGCAATGAAAAGACATCCTGGGAAGCCCCTAGGGTTGCTGCAACAAGTGGCTGGTCCTTCTCAGCCTTGGGAAGAGATAGCCATGGACTTTATATTAGAGTTGCTTGAGAGCAACGGAAACACCGGAATAGGGACTGTAATTGATCTATTTTCCAAACAAGCACATTTCATCACTTGATCAGGACTTCCCTTTGCCCAAAAGCTAACCAAGATGTTTTTGAAACACATATATAGGCTCCATGGAGCCCCAAAGCAGATTATTTCTGACAGGGGAGTCCAGTTTACTGCAACATTCTGGAGGGAGTTCGTTAAACTGATTGGGTCAACTCAGGGGCTTTCGTCAGGTTTTTATCTGACTACAAATGGAGCTGTTGAAAAAGCTAATGCAGTGGTGGAACAGTACCTCAGATGTGATGTTAATTACCAGCAGACTAATTGGACTGACCTCCTGCCTTTTGCGGAGGTAGCCTACAACTATACTGTGCACAGTAACACTGGACTCACCCCATTTTAAATAGTAATGGGTCGGGATTTTGTGCCTATGCACAAAAGTATCCCCACGAGCCTCCTACTTCCCAGACTTTGGATCAATGAGTGACGTCTTTCCAGGGGGTTTGGGTGAATGTGAAGAAAGCATTGACCAAGGCTATCAAGGTTTACAAGGAGCAGGCAGATGAACAACGCTCTCCTCAAAACTCTTTTTATGTTGGGCGATTGGTTTATCTTTCAACAAAATATTTAAGGTTAAAGTTACCCAGCAGAAAATTGGGGCCAAAGTTCCTTGGTCCTTTTTCCATCACAGAAATCATAAGCCTTGTTACAGTGGAATTGAAATTTCCATGACTGTTGGGGAAAGTCCACCTTATGTTTCATTGTAGTTTGTTGAAATCTGTATCTGAATCCTCTTTAAGACCTATTCCAAAGAAGCCGCTGAGTCCAGTAGTGGTAGAGGGGGAGACACATTATGAAATAAAACGAATTCTTGATTTTAGGTTGTACAAGGGAAAGTTACAGTACCGATCAGAAGCTACATGGGTGAAATGTATCAATGTGAAAGCAGACTGGTTAATAAAAAAGTTTTACGATAAATATCCTCACAAGCCTCAAAGAAATACTTAACATGCTTTTTGTTTCCCATATGGGAGACTCTTTCCTTTTGAGTGGGGCCCACTGTCAACTCTACAATGAGCATGGCTATAGCCATTTTTTCTTCTCATTCTAGTTTGCCAGATAGAATGGAGGGA